AGACCCACAGGTTGGGCGGTGCTGATTGGTCAGGCCTGGGTTTCCTCCCCTGGAATGAGGAAGCAGGGGAGGGGTGGTTCCCCTGAGGAAAATCAGAAAAATGGGATGGATCCTAGCAGGCAACACAACAGATGTACCTCTGTACTCACTGGATTACGTGCTCCTTGAGGGCAGGGGCTTGTGACCTAATATACCTTTGCACTCCTGGGGCCCCGCCTGGCACACAGCAGGCACTCAATGGCTGTGAGCATCCTTTCCCCTTGTCCATCCCACTCTCTCTTCTGGAGCCTGGTTCATCTCCCCAAAACAAGGAGTTCTGTGCGGAGGTAGAGGTTCCTACGAAGTGACCTGGGCTTCCAGAAGGAAAGTACCGCGTTTACCACAGACAAAACAACAGGAAATGTGGGAACCATCCAAAAGTCCCACGTGGGTGGGTGAATGATCGAGAGAATGGGGTCCATCCATACGATGGGCTATTACTCAGCCATAAAAAGGAAAGAAGAACCGACACATGCTGCTACAGCATGGCCGAACCCCGAAGATATGATGCTAAGTGAAAGAAGCCAGTCACAAAAAGGCCATACATTGTATGTTTCCGTTTATATGAAATGTCCAAAACAGGAAAATCCACAGAGACAGAGAGTAGATTAGTGCGTACCTCGGGCTCTGGTGGGGAGTTAGGAGGAAACGGGGGGGGGGGGGCGACTGTTAATGGGGTTTCTGTCTGGAGCGAAATGGATGTTCTGAGACTAGACAGAAGGTATGGTTGCCTGTATCTGTGAATATACTAAAAGCCACTGCATTGTTCCCTTTAAAGGCATGGATTTTACGGCATGTGAACTATATCTCAACAAAGCTGCTTAAAACAAATGAACAGGGAAGAGTTTTTCAGTTGTCTGAGGTACAGTCCAGAAACAGCCAACTCAGCACAGCCGGCGTAAGACGGCGGAAAGAACAGCCAAGAGAGGCTGTGAGATTCGGTCATTTGCTGAAGCTGGTCGGGGTTGGGTTTTGCTTTTTCCTCGACCATATTTCCACCCTGAACAATATCAAGCAAATGTCACGTCTTGGAGAAAGAGCAGAGCGGTGCGTGACATCATTTGCTAGCCTGGCACTATCAGCTGGCCTTGGCGTTCTCCCGTGGAAATAACAATTTCACAGAACATCACCATGAGACAAGGCCACTCTGTGACAGTGATGGAACAAGACAGAACACGAACATGGTCCAGGCCACAAAATACCGCGCGTCTCTCTCTCTCACGGCTGATAATGTGTGACAGCTGCTTCTTTACCAGTGACAGCTCTGGCCTCGCTCTGGTCTGTCCTCTGTCCGGATAAGATCTATTTAAGAGCCCCAATCCTAGAATTACCCCTGCTTTCTGCCAGCACCTACTCTAGAGCAAACTCCCAGATCCTTAAACTCTCCCCAGAATCACCCAGCCAAAGCCCAAACCCTGTAACGGTTTCTTTCCTACACCCTAACATTCTTACTGGGACGCACCATGGTTGCCCCTGGTGTATATTCTCCTGGGTGCGAGTAATAAACCCCCTGGCTTAACTCCTGGTGTGTTCCTGGTGCTCTTTGGCTGGAGGACATTGACAGCTTCCCAACACCCACTTTTTATTTATTTACTTACCCCAAAGCCAGCTCCAAGAATGCACAGAGGTCAACAAAGTGCTCTCTGGCCTCGGATAGACCTGGGTTGAACCTCAGCTGAGCCACTTCCTGTGTGACCTGTGACAAGTTAATTTACCTCTCTGAGCCTCCGTTTCTCTGCTATGAAATCATATCATGCTTCTGCTTGAAAACCCTAGAGTGGCTCCTAAGCTCATTCAGGACCAGATCCATAGAGTGTACCGTTCCCTGGGGGCCCAACGTGTATATTCAGGCCCCACTCGCTCCTCTCCCTTCCCACACTTCCCCTCAGCTCCCCTCAAGCCCCACGGACCCCTGCGATGACTCCACCACTCCAGGCACACTCCTGACTCAGGGGCTCTGCACGTCCGTCCTGTCCCCTTTTCCTGGAACCATCTTCTCCCGAGTTTCCTTGTGCCTCCCTCCCTCACTTTCCCCACGTCTCTGCTCCAAGGTCCCCTCCTGAAGGAAAAGCCTCCCAATTCTGTCACCCTCTAAGCCAGTGGTTCTCAAACTCGGGTGAACAACCGAATCTCCCAGGGACGTTGGTAAGATTAGAAAGGCCCAGGCCCACCCTGCTTCATCGCTGCAGGTGGGAATCTAAGATGGCTCCGCCACTCGGGAAAACAGTTTGGCGGTTTCTGGAAAAGTTAAACACCCACTTCCCATGTGGCCCAGACACTCTACTTCTAGACATTTACCTCGAAGAAAGGAAAGCACACGTCCTGTACGTGAACATTCAGAGTCTTTGAATTAGACAAATACTGGCAACGACCCAAATGTTCAGCAACAGGTGAGCAGATGAATAAATCATGGTATGTCCGTACAGTGGAATATTACTCAGCAATCCAAAGCAATGAGCTATTTATACACACAACAATTTGAACGAATCAAAGCCAGACCGAAAAAAGTACATTCCGCTTATTCCTCGTTTTGGATGATTTTGAGTAAAGCTGCTATAAACACTCTCATCTCCTTTCTGTTGGCTATAAACCTAGGAGCAGATTGGCTGGGTCAGAGAGTAGGCATACGTTTAGATTTGGAAAACTGCCCGTTTTCCAAAATGATTTTACCAGTTACACTCCTGACAGCATTCATTGTGTGAAGGCTCTGACCTTGGCAAGTATGAAAACTGAATAAGGGGGCTAGTAGGGTTGAAGTGTGGAAAATAAAGAAGAGCTAGACCCCCTCCTCCCAACCCCCAAAGAACAATGGAAACCATGGAAAGGGTTTAAATCAAGAAATGGCATGGGCAAAAGTGCACGTTAGAAGGATGCGTGGCTGCGGGGTGCAGAGCACACGGTGAAAGGCGAGGTGTGCTTTTTACTGCCTGCAATGTGAGTTGTGGCTGGCTGCAGCCTTCCTTCTTGCTGCCTCATTTATAGGCAGGAATGGGGTGCTGGGCAGATGAGGACATAACGTGTGTTGGCCACTCCTCATAAAGTCGAAAGAATAAAAAATTAAGCGTCAATTGGCACAGCAACATTGTTTAAAATAGCCCAAACCAGGAAATAGCGAATGCCTGTCAAGGAAGAAATGATCGGGTAAATTACACGACATCCATAAAACAGAAAACTATACAGTCATTTAAAAGAATGAGGCATGTATTATCTATTAAAAAATAACGAGATGGGTCTATATATGTTGAGTTGGAAGATGATTATAGGATATGATGACATAAAAAAAGCAAAGTGCATCCTAATATGTATGTCATGCTTCCATTTAAAATATAAATGTGTGTTTAGATATATATGCTTATGGTCAGCAAAAAGTCTTGGGCCAAAGTGTCAACAGTAGTTACCTGGGAGTAGAAATGATGGGATGGGGTCAGTCAGGTGGCTCAGTTGGTTAAGAGTTCGCTCAAGAGTGCAAGCTCTGAGCAACAGGGCCGCTGGTTCGATTCCTGGCCTGAGCTGAACTGCTGCTGAGCTGCCAACAGGTGGCAGGATGGCTCAGCTTAAAAAAAAAAAAAAAGAAAAGAAATGATGGGATGGGAGGAATTCTACTAAACAATTTTGTAAATGGATTATGCATATGGCAGACCCAGATCCGCTCATCTCACCTGCACCCTCCCCCACCCNTAAGCCTGACCAATCAGCAACTTCTATCTCCCTAAATACAGTGATTGGTCCAGGGATGGGCATGTGTCCCAAGCTGAGCCAATGACATGCAATGAAAATTCACTGAATTTTCTCAGGTTATTAAACCAGGAGGATGTAACCCTAGAGGTCCTGGAAGCCACCTTTGCCACACTGTGTAGAGAACCTGCATGAAAATGATGTTAACATTATACAAACCTGAAGCCGAGGGTTGAAGAACAACAGAAGTCAGATGCCATTGCTGAGTCCCTGGATCCAGCTGTGCCTGAAGTCCACATCCTGGATTTCTCATTCTCATACCTTTTTGCTTAGGCCAGTTTGAGTTGAAGAGTTTTGACAAACTCTAGAAATCCAAAGCAAGGTGTTACAACTACGGAGACTTCCCCATGTCTGTTTGGAGATGCTCATGATAAGCTGGCTCAATGCTATATATGCTTTAAAATAATTTAGGTCAATTCATTGGTGGCATGGATTAGACATTTTGACAGTGCATAAGGAGAGCCTATGTTTTCAAAGACTAGGTTATGGGGTAGAAAGTACTGATCACTTTGTTAGCCCTGTCATTTAAGGGATCCTACTCAATTGCTTCCTGGGAGGGACTTTAGTTCCTCACCTGTAAAACGGGTACTGTCTCCCCAGGAAGGTTGCTTGCCTGCCCACTCTGCAGACTGAGTCAGCTACTCTCATTCTGAGTTTCAACAAAACCCTGTGTGTGGTTCTATCCTGTTATTTTATTTTTTTAATATTCATATATCATTTATATACCACACAATTCACCCATTTAAGTATACAGTTTAGTGGTTTTAGTTATATTCACAGAGTTGTGCAACCATCTCCATAATCTATTTTCTTTTTAATTCTTAAAGATCACTGGTTCATGCAGCTACAAAGCCTAGACGTAGCAAAAAAAAATAAGGCACAGCTTGATCCAGTTGCTCAAATGACATCCCGGGATGCGGTCTAATCTCCCATACCTTGGCCCTGGCTTGCCTTCTTACTCGGGCTGGCTCTCCTGAAAAAAAAAAAAAAAACAAAGGCTTCCAGCCGATTTTCTCAGCAACTCACTAGGAAAAAACTACCAAACAAAATGATAATTTCCTTTTTTCAAGAGGCCAGGAAAAGTGTCATGGACTCTCATTGGACTGTCCAAGGTCAGTGCCCATCCCTGAGCCAACCACCAGACCCACAGGTTGGGCGGTGCTGATTGGTCAGGCCTGGGTTTCCTCCCCTGGAATGAGGAAGCAGGGGAGGGGTGGTTCCCCTGAGGAAAATCAGAAAAATGGGATGGATCCTAGCAGGCAACACAACAGATGTACCTCTGTACTCACTGGATTACGTGCTCCTTGAGGGCAGGGGCTTGTGACCTAATATACCTTTGCACTCCTGGGGCCCCGCCTGGCACACAGCAGGCACTCAATGGCTATGAGCATCCTTTCCCCTTGTCCATCCCACTCTCTCTTCTGGAGCCTGGTTCATCTCCCCAAAACAAGGAGTTCTGTGCGGAGGTAGAGGTTCCTACGAAGTGACCTGGGCTTCCAGAAGGAAAGTACCGCGTTTACCACAGACAAAACAACAGGAAAGATGGGAACCATCCAAAAGTCCCACGTGGGTGGGTGAATGGATCGAGAGAATGGGGTCCATCCATACGATGGGCTATTACTCAGCCATAAAAAGGAAAGAAGAACCGACACATGCTGCTACAGCATGGCCGAACCCCGAAGATATGATGCTAAGTGAAAGAAGCCAGTCACAAAAAGGCCATACATTGTATGTTTCCGTTTATATGAAATGTCCAAAACAGGAAAATCCACAGAGACAGAGAGTAGATTAGTGCGTACCTCGGGCTCTGGTGGGGAGTTAGGAGGAAACGGGGGGGGGGGGGCGACTGTTAATGGGGTTTCTGTCTGGAGCGAAATGGATGTTCTGAGACTAGACAGAAGGTATGGTTGCCTGTATCTGTGAATATACTAAAAGCCACTGCATTGTTCCCTTTAAAGGCATGGATTTTACGGCATGTGAACTATATCTCAACAAAGCTGCTTAAAACAAATGAACAGGGAAGAGTTTTTCAGTTGTCTGAGGTACAGTCCAGAAACAGCCAACTCAGCACAGCCGGCGTAAGACGGCGGAAAGAACAGCCAAGAGAGGCTGTGAGATTCGGTCATTTGCTGAAGCTGGTCGGGGTTGGGTTTTGCTTTTTCCTCGACCATATTTCCACCCTGAACAATATCAAGCAAATGTCACGTCTTGGAGAAAGAGCAGAGCGGTGCGTGACATCATTTGCTAGCCTGGCACTATCAGCTGGCCTTGGCGTTCTCCCGTGGAAATAACAATTTCACAGAACATCACCATGAGACAAGGCCACTCTGTGAC